TGTGTGTGTGTGTGTGTGTGCATGCGTGTGCATGTGTCTGTGTGTGTGTGTGTGTGTGTAGCATGTGTGTGTCACATGAGTTTCGCACGAGTACGACATGTCATACCCATGCTGCTCCGACCAGACACGTAGGCACACTGTGGGCAAGATGCAAAACGCCGGGGGCGATTTTTCAACGCGGTGGGGTAAAACCATTCGTGTGTCCATTTATGGTGAGGGTACTTATTTAAAGGGCCATAAAGTCGAAAACAGCCAAATATGCGAAAGCAGTAAGACAAAGTGAGGGGGGTGGGTGGCGCCTCCTCTCTTTCAGACAGACCAGAACACACACAATAACACCCCACGAACAAACGGAGGGAAGGGGGGAAGGCAAAGGACAGCGAGGCAAAGGGCAGGGTCGTGCTAATCTTATCAACAGACACCCACTAGCAGAGAATCTCAGCTAGGGATGTGTTTCTCAGGTATGAGCACACACGAGCGATTAACCTGCGCTGGTTTACTCATGACACATTGACAGAGCTACAACAGCTTAAGGTATTTCTTGTCAGAATTTGATGTCACAGTTTTACTCTCCCGTCTTCTCAAAAATAGTCAAATACTACTAGAAAAAGGCGGGAAGCTGGATTCCTGTAATTGGTTGTCCCTGTTAAAAAAAAAAAACCTGGTTAGCAATGGATGGTACAAACCTATTAGAAGTTCTATACAACAGGGATAAGAACTGGAAGAGCCTTAAATGAACGACTGATCTTGATCTCAGGTCACTCGATGTAAATGGTTTAGCATCTGCCAAGCAAACTAAAAGGCAAGCAATATACGAGCAATTGAAAGGTATTGGGGAAAAGGAATGGCCTGATGCGATCTGTGTACAGGAAACACATTTGATGGACAATGCAGATCACCATCATATTCACAAACAAATCTGGCCTCATCAGGTTTTCAGGGCACACGCCCCCAAACCAGGCAGTGTAGGTGTAGCAATCTGGCTCCCTCCTGACTTAAAGATTGACCCCCTCTATTGGGAAGTAGACAAGGAGGAAGAGCGATGGGCTTTTCTTTTGGCTATGCTAGAAATTGAAGTGGTGACTATTCTATGTGTGTATGCTCCTAATGAGGTAAGTGAAAGGGTTCGTTTCTTTGAATCCTTAAAGGGCCGGCTACCGGTGGGTATCCCAATGATGATGGCAGGGAATTTCAATGCAGCCACAGATAGACAATTGGATCGCTGGCAGATTCCATCCCCCTCCCCATCGTATGTAGAGAGGGATGAGGAAATTATAGAAAGAACATGTCAGTCTCTCAACCTCTTTGATGCCTACAGACGACTCTTTCCTACCAAACGCTCTTAAACATGCTTCAGGAAAAGTCAAACAACGAAAGTATCTAAGTCTCGTATAAACCTAATATTATTATCGGAGGAACTGGAGGGAGCTCTCCAAGTAGCAGGGATCTTTCCCCGTAGTGTCTTTCCGGGTCTAGACCATGCTATGACTGTTGTATTGTTGTCTTTCAGAAAGAAGTCTGACCAAGGAAGAGACTTCTATAAACTAAACACCTCTTTGCTGCACACAGACAGTTTCAAAGTGTATCTCCAAGATGTTTGGTCCTTCTGGAGGGAACAGAAAGACCAAATCAAGGACGATATACGTTGGTTCAACAACGGCCTAATGTTCTTGGACCGTAAATGCAATGAATATTCAAGATTGCTTGCTATGCAGCGAAATCTGGAAGAAATTGACTTACAAAAGCAACTTCTACAACTTCAACAACAAGAAGAAGAGGTGACGAGTGAAATCAGAAGACAAAAATTTCGCAAAAAATCAGCACACTTGAAAATAAATTATTATCATTTATGGAACATCGTTGGCAAGAGATCAGAATAAGAGGAAAACTAAAGGGACAAAACATAGAAGGAGTCATGGATGCGAGATTTTTCGCCACAGCAAAAGTAAGAACTGGGCGCACAATCATCAAAGTTTTCTTGGACCCTAAAGGAGATGAATTCTCTCTCGTTACTTCTACGGCGGAATGCACAAAAGTAGCAAGAGATTTTTACAAATTCCTCTTTACATCGGAATGCAAACAGTCGAGAGAGCAAAGAGTCAAGGAAATAGAAGAGTTTCTTAAATCCCAAACTAAAGCTCTTACGGATCAACAAAAAAAAATGCTAGAGACCCCCCTCACAAAAGAGGAAATATGGACAACCTTGATGATGATGGAGGAAGAAAAGACTCCTGGGATTGATGGCTTACCAAATAATTTTGGGAAGTGATGTGGGATTTTCTGACTCAAGACCTGATGGACTTCTATCATACAGTCTGGTCTTCTGGGGTTATGGAAGAGATAGTTGGGCAAGGGGTTCTCACCCTCCTATACAAAAAAGGAGATAAAGCCAATATCCGAAATTATAGACCTATAACTCTCCTCACAGTAGTTTAAAAGTTGGTAGCAAAAGCACTAGCAAATCGTATGATGAAAGTCATCACAGAGATTATTCACCCAACTCAAATTGGCAACTCAAACTGGCTTTATTGAAGGGAGGAACATCCAAGACAACATCCTATTAGTAAATTAACTAATTAAACTCTCTAGGGAATCCAAATACAACGCAACTTTTATCTTCATAGAATCATAGATTTTGAAAAAAACTATGATCATGTAGACTATTGTTTTTTGGAAAAATGCCTTGAAAAGTTCAATTTTTGTCCTAACTTTTGTAAATGGATTGACATTCTTCACTCTAATGCTACTACAAGGGTAATGATAAATGGGAACCTAACCCCCCCCCTTGAGCTGGAACGATCAGTAAGACAAGGAGATCCAATCGCCCATTTTTTCTTTGTCATAATGATGGAGGTCCTCGCTGCTAACTTGAGATGCAACAAAGACATCAGGCGAATTCAGGTTAGCTACATTCCGGAAGAAGCCATACCAATTTGCTCTTTGTTTGCAGACGACCTCTCACTGATGGTGGAGGCCTCTCATGAAAACTTAAGATAAATTAAAGAACTTATGGATAAATTTTGTGCACTCTCCGATATGAGAATCAATTGGGGTACCAAAACGCAAGGCTGGTGAATACATCATCAGGGAGTGAGACCGCCGGAATACCCAAATATTAACTGAGTTCCAACAGAAAATCCAATTAGGGTCCTCGGGATTCCACTCTCTGCAAGGGATAAGCCAACTGAGA